CGTGTGTCTGATAGTTATTTTGGTTTTTTGTTTAAAGTTTTAAGACATTTAAAAAATTTATTTAGCTTTTTATTGAGTGAAAGATTACAAATCACATTGGTTTTCAATCATTCATAGACATTTTGTTTTCAATATTATCATTGATTAACAGAATTGATTAAGTACAATATCAATCTCATTATGAATTGCCTTTCTTTTAACTGATAAGTGCTTAATATAGAGAATATATATAAAGGATAGCTACAACTCAATGACAATAAGGCAAACAATCCAATTAAAGACGTGCAAAGACATTTCTCCAAAGCTATACAGAAAGTCAAAAAGTATACGAAAAAAATCATCAGTGTTACACTGCTAACCCAAAGTCATTAGGGAAATACAAACCACAACTAAAATGACACATCACTTTACTCCCCTAATAATACTAGGATGACTGTTACTAGAAAAATGGAGAATAACAAAATCTTAATAAGGATATGGAGAAATTGGAACCTTCATGCATTTCTGGTGGTATAGTAAAATGATGTAGCTGTGAAGAAGAATATGACAATTCTTAAAGCTACAACTACCAACACCCCAAAAGCCAAAAATCTTTACCTTCAAGTCAGTTCCAACTTATAGTGACCTTCCATGGAGTTTCTGAAGCTGTAAATCTTTACAGGTGGAACCTGCCCATCTTTTCCTCCTCAGAGTAGTGGGCTCAAACTACTGACCTTTTGGTTCCTGGCTCCATGCAGGGCAACAATTTCCGTTTGAGGTATATATCCAAAAGAAACAAACACAGGCACTCAAACTGATACTTGTATACCAAGAGCCATTGCTGCAGTATCCTCAGGAGCCAAAAGGGTGGAATCAATTCAAAGGCCCATTAATAATACATGAATGGATAAATAAAATTAGTGTAAGCATACAATGGCATAATATTTGGTCATAAAGAGAAATTTAAATACTTTCTATGACATGGATAACTCTTAAAAACATGCTGAATAAAAGAAGTCTGAGACAAAAAGAAAAAGATATGATCCTGTGAATCTGAATTATCTGGAGCAAGCAAACACATAGAGACCAAAGTTTATTAGTGGTTGCAAAGGAAGGCTGCAGCAGGCAAAATACTTCTTGGAGGTAAGGATGGAGAAACTATGTCTCATGTATTTTAGGCATGTTGCCAGAAGAGTCTATACCTTGGAAAGGTGGAGGATCAGTTAAAGAGAGGCAGACCTGCAATAAGATAGATTGACACAGTGACTGCAGCAATGGGCGGAGGTATGTCAGAGATGATAAGGATGGCACAGGATAGGACAGGGTTCAGATCTGTTGTTCAGAGGGTCTTTATGAGTTGTACTCAACTCAATGGCCTCTAAAAACAATGACAATAATAAAAAATGGTGACTGGGAGGAAAAAGATTCTTGAAGTCAACTGAGTTTCTGTTAGCACGTTGCCGCACACTTTTAAATTGACGATCGTGCTTAGAAACACATTTTTTTTCCCAATTGTTTGACTGCCATATGAAACTGAGCATCAGTCGTTGATGTCGAATGATGTTCTTTTTTTATTAATTAAAATGTGCAGGATGGCTATAGCTGTCTTAAAGATGCTAAAAAATTTGGAAATAGATAGTGGTTGATAATGGATAGTGGCTGAGGACAACACAGGGGACATAATATCACTTAACTATACATGTTAACAGGGAACTCTGGTGGTGTCATCTGTAGGAAGTTGTACTGCCAACCCAAAGGCCAGACCTCTCTGGTGGTTTGAATCTACCAACGACTCTATGGGAGAAATACCAGTACTGTTTTCCCATGTAATAGTTTATGGCCTCAGAAACCAAATGGAGGGTCTTCCATGAGTCAGTTCCAACTCTAAGACAATGAGTTTGAGGGTTTTAAATGCACATTAAAATGGCAAATGAGTGAGATATATATATATATATATATATGGTCACTAATTGTAAATATATATATTTACAATAAAAACAAAACCCAAACCCCAGAATGCCTCACCACAAGGAGGGGGGGAGGGGCTGTGGTAGAAAATGAAGACTTCTGGAGGGAAGTAGGATGGGATGAAAGTGATTCTGCAGAAGTAACCCTCTGGCAATGATATGACACCTAAACGGAAGTTGGGTGAGGATCAGGACAGGTGTTTACATGTTTTGCAACATTAAATAATTAAATAAAATGAGTCAAAAGCGACTACTCATGTGACCAGCTATTTTATTGCCCATGCAATGATAAAATGATTTTATAAGCCTCCTGTTATGTACTCTGATGAATGCAAGGCATGACTGCCTACACCTTACAACTAATAGGTCTTGTTGTTTGGCTCACTCAGTGATAACTTAAGGAGAGTCTGTTTGCTGCAGTTGGAAAGAAAAGACGCCTAAGTGGAAACAGCTGGCAGGTCTGGTGGAGGGACATGTGGCATCCTAGGTGAGCATAAACTGGATGTGGGCCAGTTTTATAAGTCCAGCAGCCCAAGTTGATAATTGAAGGTTATGCTAACTAAGCTTGTGGGAGAGAGAAGCATAAATCTATGCCTCAGCCTTTTGCATACATAGGAATTCTCTAGGGTGGGTTTAAAATGAAGGGGTTCTTCTTAAAACACAGATTGATTTAGTGTGGTTGGGATAAGGGCCCGAGTCTCAGCATTTCTAAGCAGCTTCTCATCACACGTGTGTGTCTCACTGCTGTCAAGCCAAATCTAACTCAGCTGACCCTCCTGTGGATTTCTGAGGCTGTAAGCTGCATGGGCGTAGATGGTTCATTTATCTCTGTGGAGCACCTGTCCAATTTGAACCAATGGAGAAGCACAGGCTTTGGATTAGTAGGTCATCTTCTTAAGGACTATGCCACTAAAGCTCCCTACCCTTTGAGTAGTAAGAATGTGGATCAGAGCTCTAAAATGCTTTTGCAACTTTCTCCATTTGTCTCCTAACAACCAGGGGATTGCTTTAAGAGCATGGTGTTTCTCTATGGAAGATTGTGACTTCCAGGCTTACTGGAGCCCCAGGTATCATGTATGTTTCTGATGATCCTGTCCCTTGGCTTGGACACTTTAGAGGTTTCTCTTACACCTTTGCAGTAGAAAGATGGGTAAATAATCTCCTTCCATACCATTTACTGCCTCTGAGGTCACCTATGAGTCGGTTCTGATTCTGTGGTACACAACAACCATCAGCAGCCTGGTGGTAATCCTGTTATCTTGATAGTATGTATCCCATATGTATTGTACTGTTTTATTATATTGGGATGTAGTGTATTGTTTTTATTGTATATATTGATTCTCTATATCCTTGTAAGAAGCTGTGTTATCATCCCAAAGACACACTGTTCGAATCCACTAGAAAGGATGGGCAATCTCCTCACTTGCAATTAACTGCCTCTGAAAACGCACCAGAAGGTCAGATATGAGTCGGTTCTGACTCAACAGTGTATACAACAACAAACAGTATATTCCTGCCTAGGGACAGGGCTTCTAACCAAGTTGGTCATGACTTATGAAGTGAAGCCAGAAGAGACAAGAATTTGTAAAATATGGGTGAATTGAAACAAAAACCAGAATGAGAAAATGGTCCTACACCAGGCTAGACACTTACTATCCCTCTTAGGAAACAAGAACAATGTGTGCATTGCATAGCAACCATTGATGGGCATAGTCAGTAAGAGCAGTGCTGGCTCAAAGGTGGCAGCTAACAGCATTGGATGTATGTCATTCTCCAGTCTGGCAATAATCCAGTCTTCCAAATCAGGCTCCTCAAAGGAATCACTGTTTTCTTTGAACTTCCTCATCCTGCCTTCCATCTGTAATTCTTCCCATCTGGGTTGTGGTTATTGTTATGCTTCACAACAGATTTTAAAAACCTGAGTCTGTTCCAATTTTGCTTCATTGGCTATGACTGAACTGCTTTGTAGTCCTGACTCCAACTCTTTCCCAGCATTCACCTGGGAATCATTTCCATCCATGGGCTTCTTTTTCAACAGTTAACCTTTTCTGGTTGATCATTCACTCCAGGTAACCTTCCAAGAGTTAGGGTGTACTAGCTACAACGTGCACATGGTAAAAAACAGGAATTACATTGAAAAATAAATAATCTATTATAGTGGCCAAAGAGGTAGGATAGCAAGAAAATTGAGAAGTGTCTGTCAGTGAATATCGGCTGTGGAGTGGGCAGTCCTCACAACATCACTGACCACACCCTGATGCACAATTTTATTTATTTAAAGTTCTCTGAGCTGCATCCCAGGTGTTCCTTTGGTGAACCTGAGCTGCAGATGTGGACATTCAGTTGAAGCTGGATACTCAGAACTGGCATCCAACCTGGTCAGGATCTGGCGGCTCAGGAGTCCTGGGTGAGTTAGCTGGGTGAGCACCACTAAGACACGGTCATCTGTTTGGCTTTGCTGTTGGCAAGATCAAGAGACTGCCATGTCATTCATGTTCCATCTGATTTTCTAGCATTCTTCATATTAATACTCTAACTCATAAAATGCCCCACAACAACTCACAAAATAGAAATTTTCTGTAAAAATCATAAGAATACAATTTCCTTAAATTTAAAAAAAAAAAGTTTTTCCAGAGAAATTCAGAATGCTTCTCATTCCTCTAGTGCACGTGAAGAGGTAGAGAGCAGGGCTGTGGGAACCTCACCCTCCAGCTCTGAGTCCCAAGTTTCTGGGGAATGAGCCTTCTTTCTCAGATGAGGACTAAATTCTACACATTTAAATATTTGTGGGAATGTGGCTTTCAGATCCCTTCCATTAAGGGATGACTTTTAAAAAAAATCACGAGTGGGTACAAAATGACAATACATTCCTTTGTTTTTCTCTATGTCTCTGTCAGCATTTTTCTAAATCGCAAATTTTTTAAAATAGAAGGCCCAGGCAGCCTGTCTGCACCTTCCCTTTTTCAGAAAGCAGATAGGCTGTGGGCTGTTTGGCGCTCATGGACTGCCTTCCTCAAATAGAAGCAGGCTCGGGACCCAGGAGGCTCCCTGGGCTTAGGAGCGACACTGGCTCTTCAGACGTTTCTTCTCCACCGCCATTCGCAAGGCCTGAAGGAGCTTGTCCTGGTTATTCAGGATGTTGTACTCGCTGAGCTTCACCAGCTTGTCAAAGGCGGCTTCTGTGTATGTCAGCTCTTTGGTGGCATAGGGAGTTTTGTAGCTATAAATGTCAACTTCGCCTTGCTCCATCTCCTCAGGACTTCTTTCCACACCTGAGAAGTAGCAGAGGAACTTGCTATATAAATCCTGACTATAGGAGGGTAAAATGACCCGCTGAATCTCTCCTAGTGACCCATCCTGTACACACCAACAAACCCCTACATGTAAACATGCACATGATTGTACAATCACCATACACTCACACATACCCTTAAGCCTCTATTCCTTTTAGGATTACCCCAGGGCCAAACCTGGTCCCCGGCACACAAATGTTGAGTGAATAAAAGGGGAGGGTGTGATTTGCCACCACATGGGGGCAATCTTTTCTTGTTGACAAAGCCAGGACCAGGCGGGCCTGGAGCTAAGGCAGGTTATAAAAGCCCAGGTCAACTATTAGAAGACCTCACAAATCCACACCCTCTCAATCCAAGACCAGTGGGTGCTGGGAACCCAGGGTGGGGGTCTCTTGCCTGGAGCCTTGTACTTTTGGAAGGTGCCGTTGATAAGTGGGTAGAAGACCACAATGGGGGCGTTGAGTTCCTCAGAGTTCTCCAGCAGGTAGCATTCCTTGAGATTGTCGTCATCTTCTTGTACCTCGTACTTGGGGAAGGGGATGTTTTGTGTGGCACAGTACTCACAGGTTTGTTTCATGGGCTAGAATATCACAGAAGGAAAAGTTTAAGTATTGGGATGAGAGAGGCAAAAAACACAGTCTTTAAATCCAACCTCCTGATTTCCCCACCTAACAGCTCAGCTTCCAATCATTTTTGCCTAGTTTGTGATATGTTTAGGTCAGGACTAAGGGCCTGAGGCAGTGGGTTGGTGCAGGTCTTACTGCAACGTACTTTCCCAAATGAATTGAACGCAAACCCTTTGCATAATGTTCCATCTAAATGCAGACCTGGGTACAGCAGGCTTGGAGGGTGGCCAGAGCTGCAGCACATGCAAGGGCTTTAAAATTTACTTCAAGAGTCACAGAGCTAGAGAGGACCTTGAAGGGCATTTGTTATAGATTTGATGTAACAGAAAGCACCGAATTGAGAGTATCAGAGGTCCCTTAGTGCTGTCTCTATCCCACTGCTCATAGCTGTGTGACTTTCTTCAAGTCACTTAACCTGTCTAATTTCCTCATCTATATAGATATAGAGAGGTCTGGTGGCCTAGTGGTAAGGAGCTGCACTGCAATCTCAAAGGCACGTGGTTCAAATCCACCAGCTGCTCCGTGGGAGAAGAATGGACTATCTCTTCCTGTGTGATGATTTACTGTCTCTGAAAACCTGCTGGAGGGTCAGCTATGAGTCAGTGCTGAGTTGAAGGCATACAACAACAACATATGCCATATAGAGGAGGGAAGTTCTGGTGGCTTAGTGATAAGGAATTGCACTACCAGCTCAAAGGTACATGGTTCGAACCCGTCCCCTGCTCCATAGGAGACAGATGGGCCGTCTCCTCCCATGTGATTTACTGCCTCTGAAAACCTGCTGGAGGGTCAGCTATGGGTTGGTTCTCACTTGATGATACAGAATAACAATATATGACATGAGGTAGAGCTGATATAAGGATGAAATGAGATGTTTGAGTGGGAAAATGTGCTAGGTAATTATTGCTTATAAATTTGAGTCATTATTATCATTGTTGTCCTTGTCATTAGTCTATACTTCCACTTTCCTGGACATCAGAATAGGACAAATTTTTAAATTAATGTTAATGAACTTTACAGAGATTTTGGATTTTCATTCATTCATTCATTCTTGCACTTTTCTCCCTGCCCACCCCTCCCCCCAGTTGGCTCTTCTCTTTGAAAAGTAAAAGAAAAATTCTTTCATTGGTATAGAATTCTCCTCTCCCCGAGTACACTCCACTGTGCAACCATCATTTTGGACTCTTGTCATAACCATAATGCCCAATCATATACCACTTTTAAACTGTTCTCTCCCTCATCTGTTTCAATGCAGTATACACAAATTATCAAATTTTTCTCAGTCTTACCCCAACCCTGATGTCAGTCTTGTTTGAAAATGTGGAACGCTTCACAAATTTGCGTGTCATCCTTGTGCATGGGGCCAGGCTAATCTCTGTATCATTCCAATTTTAGTATATGTGCTGCCGAAGCGAGCACAGAATAGAACAATTTTAAACTGGACTAAAAGTTAGGTTTTATTTTCCCTTAAAAAGGACTGGAGCTTTTAAAAATGGGATAAAAATAAGCAAAAATTTCTAGTCTTGATTCATTAGTCTATGCTGTGGATGGTCTCCCCGTCTTTCTACGTCTATGTATGATTATTTTTAAAGTAGGACATTACACGTTCTTGAAGTAGTTTAAGGTTTTAAAATTCACTGGATTCTATTAAGGCTATTTTTTAAAAACTTTTTTTCCTCGAAAGAATTGCTAAGTATGGCAAAAACTCAACTCCAAGAATAAAATTGTAATTAGCTGATTGACTTAACTTAAACTCCACGTTTCTCTCTCTCTGTCTGTCTGTCTCTGTCTCTCTCTCTCTTTCTGTGTGTGTGTGTGCACACGTGTATGCCCCATCTGATCATTTACTCTGAAGTCTCAATGTTCTGATCTTGGGTCATATAAAGTAGCTTGATTGATGAGAATTTGTGAGGCTCAGCCTTATAATCCTTTAGCAAGTCTTGGAGACTGCAGGGAAAATAAACACACACATGCTCCTATTTCACAGCTGGTGAAAGTCTCCAACTCTTGAGGCTTTTGTGCACTCTTACCCGGAATGAAAAGTGTCTTTGCCACACTTGCCTTTGTCTGGGACCCAGCACAGTAATTGAGATGAATGATAAGGTCAGCTTTCCTCTCTGGTCGTAGGAGGGGTGGATAGCTGGAGTTGACGAAGAATGCAGTGTCCAGCAGGCACAAGTGTTTTGTAGAACCCGTCAGTTGGTTTGGGAAGCCATCAAGCAATGTGTCTGAAAGCCAAGCCTTCCAGTTATCAACATGGTGCCCAGGATACCACATGTCCGAGACGCCTGCTCTCAGGGAGTAGTCAGAGCCCCTTATCCTGGGCCTCTAGCCCTCTCTCTCCTGGTTGGGTCACTTCTGGGAGTCCCACTGTGCCCTGGGTGAGCTTATGGACATTATCACAGCACTTTAGCAGGACTTGTTTTGAATATATATATAACAACCCACTAGTTAAGTTTAAAACTATCCTAGAAATCAATGCATAGGTTACACTCAAGCAGATATTTGAACGTTGTGGTGAATAAAATATCAAAGGAGGTATAAAGTCAATCTCAGAGCCTTAGTAGGGTTGGGAGGAAGGTCTAAATGATGTTACAGGGCCATGCAGTAAGGCCTGGCTCTGCTACTTCCTCCCTGGGGGGGTTCTCATGCTGGGCCACTGCTGCCCAGTTTCAGGGAGCACCACTCATATTAAGTCTATGGGCATGCTGAAAATTTTGCCCTCTGTAAAATGAAACCTTTCTTGTCCTACCTGCATTTTTGTACAGACTCAATTAATTAAATATCAACACTGCTCCCTGATGCCAGACCTTCACCCTGTTCACATACCACCAAAGGCGGGGTACACTGTGGGGGGCAGTCTATTACTTGATCCAATTAGCATAGTCTGATGATGGCAGCCTTGACACCTACTTCTGCTTCTAGGGAGAGGCCTCCCAGGAGGAGCAGCCCCGGCTGGGTTACCTTTCCATTTGGAGAACTGGCCGTTCTGGAGGTAGTCAGTATGCAGCTGCAGCCCCTGCAGGAAGTTGTGGAACTCAGACACACACTTCCGATAAGTGAGGATGTCTCGGAAAGTATTGGACAGCCATGAACCTGGGACCACCACCGTGGTCTCCAAGACCTTGCCATCACATTTGGGGATTTCAGGCAGGATTGGTTCATCTTCTGCAGGGAAGAGAAGGAATGGGGGGGGGGCAGGTCACAAGAAGGGGCAGATCCTGAGCTGGCCCAGGTCAAGTACTGGCTGGTGGTGACCCAGTCCTGAGTATATTTCACACGTTCTCAGTTATCAGGGTCTGGAGACCCTGGTCTTCAAGCCAGAAGGACCCAAGTGAGAGACATATACCAGCGGCCTGGAAATGGAGATGGGAAGGGAGGGGTGATAGGCAAGGTTGGGTCCCAGAGAAGAGAGACTTTCTACTGTGCTCATTGATCCAATCCTTCTTAGCTCTGCTAGGCCCTCTCTGAACTCTTTCTTCTCTATTTCTTATTGGTTCCACACTTCTTCCATCAGACTGGATTTAGCTCCATGGGTTTATGGCTTAACTCTGACACAATGTCTCCACCTATAATTGTTAACCTTCCAGGCAGGTAAGACTCTCTGTCCCTACCTGCCTTCCAATCTCTGTGGACCATAAGGTCTGTGCTGAAACACAGGCAAGCTGGATTGGTCCTTGGTTCACTATCAACCCTCCCTAGCATTTCCCATCACCCAACCATGAGGGTCAACCAGTGTGTCACTCACCAATATCATGCGTTCTTTTCCTTGTCCACTGGTGGAAAAACTCCTCTGAGGTATGGCACAGGTTCCAGGCATCTAGCAGGTTCAGGGAGAAAATGCTGCTCCACAAACCTAGGAGGTCAAGGTGTAGGGATGAGGAACTTAGAGATAAAGAGTTGTTATCTAAGAGTTCAGCTTTCTACCTTCACATGGCTGGGCCTTGGTCTTCATTCACTGAGGTGCAGTGAATGACTTAATTTGTTCCTTAGTCACAGTCTTTGTGGGAGTGTGCAAATAACCTGTGATGGTTGGAATTAGGTATCAATTTGGCTAGGTCATTATTCTGAGTATTGTGTAGTCGTCCTCTATTTTATGAGATGTATCTGTTTTTGCTCTGTGTGTGGCATAGCCTTAGTGAGTTGTGCTGCTAACTCAAAGGCCATGAACTTCCAGTAGTTCAAATCTTTCAGGTGGTCCTTGGGAGAATGATGGGCAGTCTCCTCTTATTAAGATTTACAGCCTTCGGAACCTATTGGAAAGCTAGTATGAATTAAAACTCATTCAATGGTAATGAATGAATGTATTGAGGCAACAGGATTAGGTTATGTTAATGCAGAATAGGTTTTGTTATGTTAGTGAAGTACAATTAGGGTGGGATGCACTCAGGTCACTACCCTTACTTAAGTCACCCCCTTTGCGGAATCACGCTTGTCTTACAAGAGGTAAAAGGAGAGAGGAGCAAGCAGAGAAGGGGCCTGACTACCACCAAGAAAGAATAACCAGAAGCAAAGCACATCATTTGGATACTTGTGCTGAGATCTAGACCCAGGAGACAGTGCCAAAATACCAGAGTCAACAAGAGACAGCAAGAGATGGTGAGAACAGGGGCTGAGAAACAGTAGAAGCAGACCCAGGAGACCAGCATGAGATGGCGCGGCTTCTTGGCCCACAGAGTGAGAAAGTTGAGCTCCTTCAGACAGGTGTCTTGCTGACAGATTGAGATGCCTCTGGGCACTCACTGGTGGAACTAAAGAACTTTCTAACACTCGTCTATCAACAACCTGCAATACGCTGAGCACAACTTTTGGTGCTGAACATGGAGTGCACTCACTGAAGATCAAAGGCAGCCTTCAGTATAGATTACATGTCAACACAAAGAAAAGAAAAATCCCCATAATTAGACTAACAGGTAACATCATGAAAATGGAGAAAAGACTGAAATTGCTGATGATTTCATTTCCTCTGGAGCCACAGTCAATGCCCATGGAAGCAGCAACCAAGAAATCAAATGACATGAAGCTTTGGGCAAATCTGCTGTCAGGGGCTTCTTTAAAGTAATAAAGAGAAAGGATGACAATTTAACGACCAAGATGTACCTGATCCAAGCCGTGATATTTAGAGTTACTTCATATGCTTATGTTAAGGGACTCCGATGGCATAGTCGGTAGAGAGGTTTGGTGGTAACTCAAAGGCTGTACTTCTTTGCTAATTCAAGTCTGCTGGTTGCCGTGCAGGAGGAAGATGGACCATCTCCTCCCATGTGATTTATAGCCTCTTGCTGAAGGGTCAGCTGTAGGTCAATTTAAATTTCATGGCTATAAGGTTGACAGAGACTAAAATGTTGAGAGAGCTACCTCTGGTCCCCAAAGTCTTGGGGACCCCTGGAAGTCCCTTTGTGCCAGAAGGTGTATAAGGACATTGGAGTAGTCCTGGAGGCCTTACTGGGCCTGGGTTTGACAGCTTGTCCTGGGATAAGTTGATGTGGGCAAAAGCTGGAGGGTCCCCTGTCCAAGGACCAACCCAAACCACTAGCTCCAACACCTGGGACAAAATCCTAGGGAAATCAGGTGTGCCTTTATGTCAGTCCTCTAACTCAAAAGTGACATTTCCCACCATGCGGTGAGGTGCCCTGGTGGCACCTAGGTGGTTACCTAGCATGTAGCACATTCGTGATTCCGGAGTCCTCTTCATCAGTCTCCCCATGAAGAATTCAGAGCCAAAGAGCTCGGCAGGGATGAAGGCTCCATACTTCTGCAGGCCCACTTCATACGGGGAGAATTCACACCACTCTGCACATGAAGCAGCCAGTTAGGGGTCAGTCCCAGTCCTGGGCACCACCTTGGACAGCCACCCTCCCTCCCCTCTGCCTTGAAGAGCCTGGGACAGAGACTGCAGTTCCGCCTATGGGCACATGGGGGCACTGTCTGCCCTGTGTGGCAGCTCTTCAACCTGCTTTTGTTCCTCCAAAACACAGTAAATGGAGATGGAAACTGATCCCCAACCCCAACACAGGGAAGGTCGCTGGGGTCCTTCTTTCTTTTGGATTTCTTGAGAAACATTTAGGACTCCTCTCTTCATGGCCTTTGTTTTCCTCAGCCCATGCAAAAGGGAAGCGTGAGGCCAAGGAAGCCCAAGACCTTGCTCCGCCCCATGTGACAGTTGACTTCTCCCTCGGTGGGCACCACTTTTGTTGTGAAAATTGGCAAAGGTGTGAGGGGTAGAGGAGGCATGGAGGTGCTATGTGCCTTGCCTGCTGAAAAGGAGCACCGCCCCCGCCCCCCACCCCCGTAAGCCTGTCAGGCACCAGGTTACCTCTGAAATCCTGGTTGCTTACATCATCCTTGACGTTGATGGTGAGGTAGATGGGAAGGGGGTTCTGGCCCCGGCACAGAGCAGCCCGCTGCTCTGAAAGCTTGCAGTCATTTCTCTGTGGGGAAAGGAAATGATTGAGGAGAAGCAGCAGACAGTTTAGGGGTCAGAGAGGCAGTTCAGGATAAGGACCTCCACAACCTTATTCAGGCTTCTCAAGGCCACACATGTGATGAGTGAGAAGGGCTTGCTGCATAAACTCCCTCTCTTAATAGCATCCACAGAATGAATTGCTCGGCCATCCGCTACCCCAGACACAGAGCCTTGGGCCCCCTGGCTCTGTCCAAGGCCCTGTCCCTCAGGCTCCCAGGTTTCCTTTTGGGGCCTCAGTGGCCAGAAGATGAAGGGGTTTAGGGGGGAAAACACTGTTTGCCCCTTCATGCCCAGTATTTCCCATCAATTCCTAAGGGATCAGCCATTTCTATCTGCTCAACTTATTGGGCTCCTTCATAAAGCTTGTTAAGCTGCTGCTGCTTCTTTTTTTTTTTTTTTAATAAAAGGGTTTGAAACCAGAATACTACTTCCTGTAGACTGTTGTGCTGTCTAGAATAGGAGCCTTGCAACTCACCCTGGGCCACAAACAACCCTCAAACTTAAAGAGCCATTGCAGCCAGGCAGAACTGAGACCTCAGAAGCCCAGGCTCTAAATCCAGCCAACACCTGCCGGCTGGCTGACTGCCTGTGGCTATTCCAGGGGCCACGAGGCTGTTACAGGATGGTAAACCTGTGACTGGGCCTCATCACTCTGGGGCCTCCTTTGCAAGGCAAGTGGTGCATGCCATAACTGAGTCCAGAGGTCTGATCATCTTGAAAGAGGATTGTATGTGAGGAAGATGCTTGTCCATGCTCACTGCCCAGGGGTCCTGAGGGAGAGGCTGCTGCCTTGGCCACAGTGGGAGAACAGAGGCCCCTTGGGGCTGTCTTGCACCTTGCATAGGTCCCGCTTCATTTTCTCTCGCAGGTGTTTCCTCCAACTGAATTTTTATATATTTAAAACCATCTCGGCAGCTGCTTCTCCAAGGACATACTTCTTCCATGCAGGGTTGTGTCTAAGCCACCCCTTACATGAGGGTCCTGATCATTCCCTGAAGTGTTCAAAGGTTCACCCTTTCCTCTGTCATGCATTAAGGCACCTCCCACATCTTAGAGGACCTCCCCAAAGTGCTGAAGAACAAGGATGTAAGTTTAAAGACCAAGATGTGCCTGATCCAAGCTATGGTCTTTAAAATTTCTTGCTGTGCATCTCAGAGTTGGATAGTGAATAAAGATGGTAGAAGATGAATTGATGCCTTTGAGTTGTGGTGCTGGCTAAGGGCACTAAATATTCCATAGAATGCCCAAAGAACAAATCCATATGTCTTAGAGAGAGTGTAGCCAGGATGCTCCTTAGAGGGAAGAATGGTGAAAATTTCATCTCGCATACTTTGGGCATGTTGCTAGGAGTCCTTGAAGAAAGACATTATGTTTGGAAAAGTGGAGGGTCAGTGAAGGAGGGGAAACTCCTCAGTGAGATGGATTGAGACAGTGACTGTAGCACAATAAGTGACACAGTGGCTAGAGGGTGGCAAAGATGATGAGGATGGCACAGGACAGGGCAGGATTCAGATCTGATATTTATGGGGTCACTATGAGTTGTACTCAACTCATGGGGTCACTATGAGTTGTACTCAACTACAGATCGTACAGCCCAAGGATGCACCTGCAGGTCCAATCTGATTCTGTTTACTGCAGTTTTAGCCCAGATCTTCCTGGTGAAGCTGGATGCCTACCTTGTCTCCCAGACAGGCCTCGATCAGCAGGCCCCAGAAGTCAGTGAAGGTGACTTTGTAGCCCTCTTGACTGCGCTGCCGGAGTTCCTCCCTGTATTTCAAGAGCTGGTCAGGGAACAGGGCTGGCATCTTGTCCTTGACCACATGCCTTCGAGCCTCGAAGATGGCCTTCTCCAGGTTTTTGGAGGACCATTCAGGGTCTTGATACAAGGTAGCCATGGTCCTGGAGGGAGACAGGCATAGCTGGTAAAGCTGACCCAGCTCTGGTCTAATCAACCCCAGACTCTGGTGGGAGAGAAACCCTAACCTTCCAGAGGAGTTAGGAGGAAAGGGGGTGAGACAGAGGCCTGGAGGATGAAAAGTAAACATTATGACCCATGGCCACAATTGCTACACTTTCTTAAATGCCTTCAATGTGCCAGATAGAAAACATTCATTAAGAATGAAAATTTTTAACCTAGATCTCCCAAAGTTCAAAAACCGGGCTCTTTTACCCATTAGTGGTGTACTGGGTAAGTAGCTTAGCCTCTCTTCACCTCAGTCTTCAAATCTGTGAAATGGGGACAATGTTGTTAATGGTGCCAATCTCACAGCATTACTGTGAATATGAAGTGAACTAATGTAATGAATGAAGCAAACTCTGTATCGAGGAGTGGTAGAGCCAGTATCTGAACGCAGACTCACTTGAACCCAAATTAATGTTCCTGGTTCCAAATCCTGAACCCTTTTTACTATGCCATAACCTGAAAAAAAAAAACCCAAAAAACAAACACCAAAAAAAACCCCATAAAAAAAACCCCACCCAAACACATTGTTGTGAGCTAAGCCTGACTCACAGGACCCCATAGGACAGAGTAGAACTGCCTTATGGAATTTCTAAGGCTGTAAATCTTTACAGAAGCAGATTGACTGTCACATTTTTCTCTTGAGGAGCAGCTGATGGCATCAAATGGTTACCTTCGGGTTAGCTGCAAGTACTTTAGAACAGTAACACCAAGGCTCCTCTTTCCACACCAGTACCCATAGGTGTGGACTTCCACATGTGAGTTAAAAGGTACTGATTTCCCTCTTTTCTTAACTTACATGTACACAGTAGGAAAAGGGAAAACAAAGATGGCGGACCTCAAGACTTGGGCTTCAGCACTTGTGTCTGGGAATGCCCCACCCTCACTGCAGTGTGATTTGTCTGGCCAGCGACCTCTTCCTTCATAGGTCTTATTTCTGGCTGGTAGTAATGACTGGATAGTTATAAGATTTTTTTTCAGGTGAAAACACAACTCTGGTCACATAAGGTTCACTTTGTTACTTTTGCACTTTAAAAAGTCTTCAAAAACTGTTGATGGGCACTTGGGTTGTTTCAACTCTTTGCTATTGTGAACAAAGCCGCAATCATCAACAAACAAATGGATAGAGCTCTGGTGTATTCACACAATGAGATACTATGCTGCATTGAAAAACAAGGAACTCATGAAATATTATACAAAATGGGTGATCCTGGAGGACATTATACTGAGTGAAATATCTTAGTCACAAAAGGACAAATATTGCATAAGGTCACTGTTGGAAAATGGGACTGACATCAGGGTTGAAGAAAGATTGAGAAAGATGGGATAAATAATATATGCAACATTGCAACAGATGAGGGCGAGAACTGTTTAAAAGGGATATATGATTGGGTATTATTGTCATGAAAGGAGTCCCGAATGAAGGCTGCCCAGTGGAGTGGACTTGGGGGGAGGGATTGTATAACAGTAAAAGAATGGTGTTTTTTGTTGGTTTTTTTTTTTTTTTACTTTTCAAAGAGAAGAACTAATTGAGGGGAAGGGGTGAGCAGGGAGAAAAGTGCAACAATGAATGAATGGAAACCCTAAGTCTCTGTAAACTCCATTGTAATTAATTTTTAAAAAACAAACTGCTGAGAAGAGTTGCTTCTGCAAGAACACTTTCCTGGGCCAGCGGACCCTCTACCCTCCCATGCTCACCCTGGCCAACCCCTCAGTACTCCCTAGCTCCTAATCTCCTACCGGGCTCTCTAGTAGACCAGGAAGCTGTGGGTGCCCTTGACCTAGATGAAGACAGGCTTTTTCTCAAGCTCCTAACCACCTGTTTTTGTTGATGTTGTGTGCCTTTGAGTGGGAACTGACTCATAGCAGCTGGCCCACCAGTGAGTTTTCAGAGGCAGTGAACCACAGGGGAGGAGATTGCCCATCCTTTTCTTTTTTCTTTTTACAAATCATACTGGTTTTTTTTGGCCAGGGAACACCCCGAAGCATTGCCAGAAAAGATTTCTGGGAGTTGGGGAGGAGGGAGGCAGAGTTGTGCTGATCTCCAGATTCTAACACAGGTAACCTCAGGCTGCACTGGCCAGGGCACACCCCAAAGCATTACCAGAAAAGATTTCTGGGCCCAAGAGCTGCATCAGCACCTGGCTTCAAATGGAAGACAAGCAGTATTAACCCATGAGAAGGCAATCCTGGAATGGGAGTTGCACATTACACTTGTACTTAAGAACTTTAAATTGAAGTTATATTGGCTGCATCATAAGAGATTCACAGCAGCATGATATGTTCAGAATCACAGAAATCCTGATGGCTTGAGACTTAGGCCATCACATCAGGGGCTGGTCAATGGGAG